TATATATCGATTACTATCACAATCGATAGAACCCAACAGGGGGATTATTATCGATATATATCCACATAGATATTGATTGATATATATCGGCCTATATTTTTTGCTGATGTAAACAGTTACAAGATATAGAAAAGGTATCAATTTTAAAATTTTAAACCGTATTTATACGAATATGATGATTTCTTTACTATAACAAAAGTGGGTAGCTTCATTGCTTCCAAAACTTTATTATGTTACTGCAGGATGTAATAGTGTTGAGGGTGCATTTACCTGCTTTTTTAAGGTACAATATCATGGAGTAAGCCCTGTTATGATAACCTGCCATATAGTATCTCATGTATGATCTCTTTATACTTTCATTATGGTATCTTAATAGCTGCAGCTGACTGAAAAGAACTAAATTTTAATAAACTATAAAAACTGTTATTTCATTTTAAAAGTAATTTAATAGACATTTATTTTGAATTTAATACGTAGATACGATATACATAGCACGAGTTGAAATCATTAGCTAACGCTAATTTATTTTGGTAAACTTTTTTAATATTTAAAAATCAAATTTAGAATTGACTTAGAATTGAAATAATTTATATTCTCCAAAGCTCTAGATTTTATAAAGATGAAACTTGGAAGCCTCAAGCTATACGTAATATTAGTAGCCTAAGAGAAACAATTAGTGTACTTTAAGAATTTTATGATAATATACTTTTTAGAGCTTCAGTGATATTCATTTATCAACAATGAAGTATTAAAAGTATACACTTTAATTCTATCATTAGAAAGGCAATACGCCAGTACACTCATGTTTATTAGAGAAAATTGACAATATAAAAATGAATGATCTAACGTATGATGATCCTTTAGCCAATGGAGTAATCGATCTTGGGTGTAACTACTTCCAGGTTGCTAAAAAAGAATTTGATGTTCTTCTGGTAGGAATTTTAATTCATACTATTTGTAATTTAAGGACCATTAATACAATTGTATTCTTATAGAGAGAGAAGGCTGGAATAAAAAAATTAAATAAAGAATTGTCAATAAAAATTTTATGTGCTGATTTTGTGCATAAAAGAACTAAAACTCAGTTAAAATATAGATTTATTTTAGCACCATCTCAAACTATATGTCATGATAAATAGGTTGAACCAATATACATAAGAGAGGAAGTAGCACATAATCTTTTGAATATAATTTTGCAAGAAACCAAGATGGACATCCATCAAATCTCTAAATACTCAGAAAACACACTTGTAGAAATAATTGGTCATTTAATAGATACGGCTATGTGTAACTTACTAGTTAAATTTGACGTTAAAGTGATCAGGTAATTTATATAATAATTGATTTTATTGATTTGGTAACTAACAACTTATTTTAGAGCTAAAAAACAAAGTATTGCAAGTAAAAATCGTAAAATTTTTCAAGGTACTGGTTCAAGATAAAATAGACCAGATTTAATGATAAAGGCATTTTTTCAAAGAAAATGGAATGAACTTGCATACGTTGAAAGTGGAAGGTGGAAATCTAACGAAGACAAAATGTAGGACGATCATAAGAGTTTAGTGCGATTTTGTATAGATTGCTATGATGAAATATCAAAAAAATCTAGAAAAGACCAACTATGTAAATTTTTTTTTGCATTTGGGATAAATATTGCAAATATGGATATGAATAAATTTAATTTTCCAGGTGATTTTTTTTGTGGTGTCTAATTAAATTAATAATCTCTATTCTAGGTGATTTTCTGGTAATTGATAGACTAGCATGAGAAAATGGAACAAGATTTTATCTTTCTATTATGAAAACCAAGATTCCATTTTACAATGAACTAGTTGAAGATGTAGAAAATTTTATTCACGCATTACTAATTTTGCGGGTTAGAAATTAAAAATATTTATATAATTATATTATATTATATAGATGCTTTGCAATTTATCATATTTTGACACTTTCTTTAAAATAATCAGAATGGTATAATTGTGAACTTGCAAAATCTTAGGAATTCTTTTAAAAAGAAATTCAAAGATAATGCAAATAAATCTCTTTTGCATACTAATACCATTGGGTCTTCCGTATGCAATTAGTAGTAAGTATATAGAGAGCAATAAAAAAATGCAATTATCTTTATTGCAAAGTACTATATTCTTTGCTAAATCAATTTATCAGATCCTACCATCATACATATTGTATATCAAAAAATGAGAAGTCTTACCCGAACTGTATATGTGGCTTTATACAAAGACACCCTGCTTTTAATTTATATTAAGAACCTGATTAAAAATTTTGAATAGCTATAATGTTTTGTAGAGAGTGGCTGTTTTTTGTTGAATGGATATAGGTTTTATTGCGTTCCTAAATATTTTGAATTCATAAAGAAAGGGCTTTTAAAATATTTTCTGAGTTTAAGACAAGTGAAAAGGCAAATAAGCCCG